CTTGCCCCCTTCCCCACAAATCCAACCCCCTCCCAGGAATCTGCCCCGCCAGCCTCAGTTCCCCCCCGCAAAAGAGTATACCCAAAGCCTTCCTGACCCTGGGGTGCTGGCCCCCAGGCCCACATTCAGCACCCCCACCCAAACTACCTCCCAGTCCCCATCCATCCCCTACCCGTTCTTTCAGTCCCAAACACCTGCTGCTCCTCTCTCTTCCCTTCCCCCCAGCCCCCATCTAAGCAGGTCCTGCTCCCCACAGCTCACCTGGGCCATGTCATCCACGCTCTCATCCTGCGAGTAGGGCTCATAGTCCGGCTTCTTCTTGCGCAGCTCCACGTTCTTGTCCGCCTTCTCCTTGTCCACCAGGTTCACGTTCACCAGCACATCCTCCTCCTCCACCAGAACACCTGAGTTCACCGGGGCAAAGGGGAGAAAGGGGGACAGCATTAACCCGGAGACCACCCTCAACCAGGAAGAGTATGGTACAGAAGGAATTATTGCAGCTGGAAGCCACCCTACCCACCCAAGAAAACCCAGCTTTAGATTTGCAGATTCATTCAGGTAGAAGGTACGTGGTACACAGAAGTTACAGTAGCTAGAAGCTCCATAGAAAAGCTTGGCTTCCTTATGTTAGGCACACAGCCCGATTCAGAGGGGAGTGGGGCACATGGTACATGGGAAGTTGGAAGCCCCCAGGAAAACCCAGTTTCCCTGTATTAGGTACCCAATTTGGGAGGGAGTGGGGTGCAAAGAATTATGGTAGCTAGAAGCCCCAAGAAACCCGGCTTCCCTACATCAGAGGCACTCCACACCCTAGGCCCTTCTCTGTGCCCGTTTGCCCACCTAAATAAACCCCTTATCGTGCTTTGGCTCTGTGCCTGTCCACCCAGCCCTCAAGTTGGGGGGGGAGGGGAGTCCAGGATCCCCCCCTTTTCTGGGGCCCCCCCAAATCACCTTTGTCCTTGAGCGTCAGGACCAGGGTCTCTCCCTCCTGGAAGGACTCAATGGTGTGTTCCACTGTCAGGCCCTGCAGGTCCCGCGAGCTGTACGAGTCCTGGGAGGGGGAAAGGAGAGCTAGCAAGGAGCCCGGACACCTGGGTTCTCTCCAGCTCGGGGAAGGAAGTGAGGGGCTGGAGGATTAGAGCAGAGTGGGGGCTGAGAGCCCCAGAAGCCTGGGTTCTTGTCCCCTATGCAGAGCTGGAGAGGACTGGCAGGTCAGAGCTGGAACCAGGACACCTGAGTTCTCTCCCTGCTCTGGAAACAGAAATGGCATCTAGAAAGAGCTTGGAACCAGGACACCTGGGTACTCTCCTAATTCTGGAAAACAGGAAGGGTTAGAAATGGAAGCCAAGATGTCTGGGATCTCTCCCAGCTCTGGAAAGCAAAAAGGGGTGTGATAGGTTGGAGCCTGGATCCTCTCCAGGATCAGCATCCCTTTAGCATTAATGGCCCTTCTGACAGGGCCTAGCCTGATCCCTTACCCCACCCCCATCTCTTCCCTGCCCTGGTGGCTGGGACACTCAGTCCTCAAGGGCTGGGATCACACAACTCCAAGTGCAGTGACAATATGTGATCCCCACCCCATCCTCCCTGGAGTCCCCCCAACCCCAATTAACCCAGGTTAAAGGGGCCCAAACCCACCTTCTTCCTCTGCCCGAACTCTTCCTCCACCAGGCTGCTGATGCCAAACTCCTGGTCCATCTCCTCCAGCAGCTTGGCCTGTGTGGGGTGAGGGGTCAGAGCCTGGACACCTGGGTTCTCTCCCACTCTGGGAGGGCAGTGAGGGCTGGGGGGTGAGAGCAGAAGGGACTGGGAGCCTGAACGCCTGGGTTCTCTTACAGACCATCAACCAGCCACTCTGACACCTTTCTTTCCCTCACTGGAGTAAAGAACCCACATATCTGGGCTCCCAGCTCCTCACCTGCCTCTGCAACCCATAACTCCCTATCCCTTGGTCTGGAGTTGGTTACAGCAAGTGGGGGCTGTGAGCCCAGACACCTGGGTTCTCTGGAAATGGAGTGGGAGGCTGCGTAGGTTATAGCAGGGGGTTGGAAACTTGGACACCTGGGTTCTCTGGGAGGATTATAGCAGAACTTGGGAGCCAGGACGCCTCTGTTGTCTCCCTGTTCTGTAAAGGTAGTGGAGTCCAGCACATTGACACGCAAGGGGGACTGGGTGCCTGGGGCGTTGGGGGTGAAAGAAGGGCAGGTCTGGGAGCCTGGACACTTGGGTTCCCCACACCATCTCCCCCTGCCCGTGTGAGGATGGGTGGAGGGCAGGGTGGAAACCACCTACACATTCGCCAGCCCCTGGGGAACCAGCACTGATAAACCCCAGGGGGGAAAAGCCAGTAAGAGGCTGGTAGAAATGCAAGGAAAAAATCCTCTTAATGCCTCAGTTTTCCCCCCAGCCTGTCTCAGCTCCCTCCCAGCCCCCACCTCCCTCATGTACCTCAGTTTCCACCACCACGCCTCCCAGTCCATCCCAGTGCCAGCCCTCACCCTCTTCTCAGCCAGGTCCTTCTCCTGCTGCAGCTTGCGGCTCCGCTCAATCCAGGCAGCCGCATCATCCAGCCAAGGATCGTCCTCTCCAAGGGCCTTTATCTTTCTGGGAGGGAGAAAGATGTCACATGAGGCTGGGAGGCACGAAAATCACTTCCTCCCACCCCAGAGATGCACTGAGGCCTCATGGGAGCTGAAGGAGCTGGCAGGAAACTGCAGAGCTGTGGGTTCAAATCCCAATGCCAAGGCCTCAGCTTTGATTCCCCAGCCCTGCAGAACCCAGTCACTTCCTTTCCCTCCCCACACAGTACTTAAGTGCAAAGAGAACAGATATCCCACGGTTCTTTGCAAAGGAACACTCTTGGATTCTGCCCCTAGAACTTGTATGCTCTGGGAGACAAAAGCAGGGATACAGCTGTGTTTGGGTGAGTGGGTGCAAGGGTGGGGGCAGGATAGAAGGGGTGTGGGCCAGGGCCAAGACAGTGAGGGGGCAGGGATACAGCAAAGGGGTGAGATTACCCTAATTTCTGATTGAGCAGGCGCTTCTCCTTGGCAGCTGCCAGCTTCTCGCGGATCTCCTCACGCTGCCGCAGTGCCATTGGGTTGATGACATCGGCCGCCATCGGGTCTTCCTTGGTGCCTGCCTCTGCGGGGGGGAGTGTACATGAGATATGGGTGTACCCTGGACCCCCTGAGACTCCCTCCCCAGGCCCCCCAAGAACCCATAGCACAGAGAACAGCTGGGGACAGGGCTGGGAGGGCCGGGACTGCACCAGCCAGGAGATGGGAAGGTGGGGGGGCGCTGAGAACTCAAGATACCTGGATTCACTCCAGGTCTGGAAGTGGAGTGAGCTGGGGGTGATAGCAGGGGGTGCTAGATCTGGATGCCTGGGTTCTCACCAGCTCTGGGCAGGGAGTGTGGGCTGGGAAACTGGATACCTGGGGTCTCTCCCAGCTCAAGGATAAGAACGAGGCCTGGGGGATTCCAGCAGGGGTTGTGAGAGCCCGGACCCCTCGGTTCTCTCCCAGCTATTGAATGGGAGTGGGGGCTGAGGGAGGGAAAGACAAACACTCGGACCCAGATACCTGGATTCTCTCTAGCTCCAGAAGGCAAGTGGGGGCTGAGGGGTTAGAGTAGGGGGGCTGGTAGGCTGGGTGCTTGGGTTCACTCCCCCAAGGCATGCTCAATACAGACTTACCTTTCTTGATGGTGCCCACTTCCAAGGGCTTCAGGCCCAGCTTGGCTCGGAGTTTGCTGCAGACAGAAAGTGGTGACAGTCACAAAGTGCCTGGGGCTCAGAACCAGGGCTCCTGGACCAGCTCCCCTCCTTCATGACCCATCCACCCTCATGTACATTGGGGCTGCGACCAAGACTGATGTGACACACTATTTATTAAACCGAGTACTAATGAATCAGGGTGGTGGGAACCCAGTAAGCCAGGGGTGGGCAATTACTTCAGCTAGAGGGCTAGGTAATGAGTTCTGGAGAACCACACCTGCTAAATCTTTCGGATCTCATAACAGGTCAGAGACAAAAATTGCATACAAAAACCCAGGCATCTATTATGACACATTTTAGTTTTATTTCAAAAAATAATTTTTAAGCCTGGTCTCCGTTTCAAGTACTACAAAAACAGGTAACTGTATAATAGCTCCAAAAAAAAAAAATCTTACTCTTGTATGTTGTCTGAGCAGGGTGTTGAGGAGGATACGTGTATGTGGGGGAGGGGGGGTCCCCATGGAGGAGTGGGTGTGGAGGGATGTGGGGAGGGGGGCTGCCTGTGCACTAGGTACCAGGAGCTGGCTAGGGGTGAGGAAAGGTTGGCGGGGGGGGGGGCGGCGGTGCAGGGGACATGTGCAACAGAGCTTGCCCCACCGGGGTGGTGCAGCTGCAGTCATCCTCCCACTCCACCCCATTTGGCTGGCAGCTGCCCCCACAGTGCCAAGCAGGGGGCTGAGCCCTGTCCACTGCCACCTGGGGCAACAGACGCTGCGCTCCCAGCTGTCCCGGCCCCAGCCAGGGCCCACTTCTGAGCAGGGCTGCTGCAGCCGCCCAGGTGCTGCTCCTGCCCCCCACAGCTCCTCCTCCTCTCTCCTGACCATGCTGCGCTGCTCAGGGCAGCACACAGCGCAACCAACAAAGAATCTCCCTACCTGATCTCACAAACAACTGGATCCATTCACCCCATTAGAACTGGATCCATTCAGCCCGAGATTATTATGGGAAACATGGGGTCTGGGCTAGTGGTGCCTACACACCTAGCAGGGCTCGTAGCCCCTCCTCAGGGCAGCTGCACTCGCCAAGACCTGACCCATGGCGGGCAAAACAGGCTTCCCACAAGCTGAGGGCAACTGGGCGGGACTGGAACAAAGGCGAGGTGTTGCGCCCCGCTCGCCTGAGAGCTGTAGCCCCCCCCC